CAGATCTCTTCTGGGCTTCAGGAACCACTTCTATTGCCATTACGTTTAGAATCATAGGTTCTTTGGTTCCGATTTCTTGTTTAATGTCATCGATGGGTCGCCGCAACACAACCGACCCACTCGTCTCATCGATTCCGAAGAAGGATCGCAGAGATGACTCTAAACATACAAATTATGCAAATATTTCATATAAAAGTCATATTATAGGACATACTCGGGTCGATATAATATGTAATGTTGCGTTGATTGCCATAATCGCCGTCCACTGCACTCACACTTAACACAACACTTCCCTAAGAATTGTGTTATTAATTCAAATTATAACATGAATTTGAAAAGTATTGGAGTTAACAATACTCACAACTTTAGTATTTTCCGATATTTTCACCACATTTGGTAAGTCAATAAACACGGGCGCAGTGTCTTGAATATCAGTGATTACCACCACTTTATCAGTGATTGCAATGTTTCGCGTGTCGTGTGTTTCGTTTGTCCAGCAATTCTGTCATCATTTAGTTTATGAGCAAAATTTTTGATATATTTTTGTTATAAAACGCTTACCAAAGCGACGATTGACAAAATATACAGATTTTGTCGCTCGTAATCGACTTTTTGGAGTAAATAAATCTCTGCATTACTTGTGCCTAAAGATTATTAGCTTTTAGTTAAGCAAATAGTGTGCGAAAAGTTCATTACGGTGTTTACCTCCCGGACCAAAGATGTACTTAATGGAAAACTTGTCGGAACCCTTTGATGATAATTAAATCATAATTAAATTAACACCAATAAAATTCATTGTTAAAATAAATGTACCCTTAATTCAAAATTGACGGGAAGATTGCTATTCTCCTTCTCCCTCACACTTATTGTGGCAATTGTTTGGTTTGTATTTGTGCTCTAATTATATTTAAAGTAAAATTAATTTATTAATTTAAAAATAAATTAATTATTACAAATAATATTAAGTCAAACCTCAGATATTTTGATTATATTGTCTGATAAAAGAAATGGCGATTCAGTGATGGGAATGCTTTCGGTGACAATGATTGTGGACTCGACTTCAGTGTCATGTTTACCATCGGAAGCGTAAATTGTTATCCTATATTCCGGTTTCTAAATATGGCATCAAATGAATTATCTATTAATTAATCAAAACTATATCTTAAACTCACTGTTAGCGGCATTTTTAGATAGACGTCCGCCGCCTGAAAGCTAACATTTTTAAAATATACTAAACGATTGCCGACTATATCTCCGCGAACACCAAACTCGATGATGTCATTGTCGGCATCGGTTCCCTTAATTCTGTATATTATTGAATCGACTTTTGTATTGTTTGGCAACTTTAAGACTCGCATATTATGCGAAAAGTCAATGATCGGCGGATTCGCCAAACATA